GGCGCCGAGCCTCCAGTCTCTCTTTTTGATACATCTCAAATTTTAGAGAGTATCCAGGCTGGAATATGGGAGGTGATGTGAATCCCATAGACAACAGAGGGAGGTATCAAACAGGCCAAGCCTGGGGTTTTCTGCTTCATACCCTCAGAAGGCAGTCTGTCCTCATCACAGCTGGTAATGTGGGAACTCCCACATCAGCAGGCTCTATTGTGAAGCAACAGGTCTGACCATGGCTTCCTGAGCCAAGAATCATAAACTATTCCGATGGTTGTAAGTTTTCCCATAGATATAATTCTTATCATGCCTCTGGGGTCATGTCCCACGCAACTCTTTGGCACAAATGGCAATATGGTCAGTAAGAATCCCACAAAATGAGATAGTTTATTCTTCCATCAATTAAAGAGACATAGACACTATAATACACCCTCATAGAAACACACTGACACAAGGACACATATGTGGACATATATCCAGATATCAGAACCACCCACAGCTTCCCTTCTCCTGCAGCCTAAACACTTACATCTAATTGTTCCATGGTCACATCACTGAGGGAGTAGCAGGATGGATGAAGCAGCTCACAGATGATGGTGTCTGCACCCTTGCAGAACAACATTACCCGATCTTCAGGTGTCCGTACTAAAGACAAGCAAGTAATCAAAGTAACCATATAGGTCTACTGTTACAAGAACTTATCAGGGCCACTGAGAATGGCAGGAGGCTGTTCCCTGTGACATTTGTCTCTACCTTTGGAGGCTAAGTACTCAGTGAGTGGTCATGCAGGAAGAATGATGTGGTGAGGGCTGGCAAGAGTGAGAGAGGTACTTACAGAACCAGTTCTCCCATGGTTCACTGTTACCTGTGGAAGACTGGATGTAGTGTTTCTCAATTCCAAGCCCCAGATCCAGGCTCACACCTAGTATGGACCAAGGATGAAAAATGACCTTCTCTCTCTGTAGTCTGAAGGCCAAACTAATTGAGAGAGCAAGACAGTATTAATTTCCCCTATGCTGTCTGTACCCATTTCTTATTCCATGTTCAGGTTTTATAAATTTATTCTCTGTCCTTATCTTGGCTTTGATGATGATGATAAGCCACCACCTAGGAACACTACAGAAGGAATTTAGCATATTACCAAGTCCTCATATGTGCATAAGTGAAAAGTTAAAAGATATGTGAGAGAGCAAGTAGGAAGGGCTGTGTGTTTGTATTTGAGGCACAGTGCCTGTGAGAAGGCATGTGAGTATGGGAGAGCATTTGTGTGTAGAAAAAAGAGAAAGGTAACATGTGAATATATATGAAAGACAAAGAAAGGGAGAGGACTAAGAAAGGCACCCACCAATAACAGACATCCGCTTGCGCACATTGTTGAAGTCCAAAATAGAAAGCAGTTGGTAGACTCTGGTTTGCCCCATTTCGACTACGGTGATTGTCTCAAATGTGCGGGAACGGAACACAAAGCCAAAGTTCCTGGCAGCAGTGACCAGGGCACCTTCATCTGGTGACTGAGCCTGGTACACCAGCACACCTAACAGGAGAGAAGAGGGTAACCAGAGCCTACAGAGATGAACAGGTGAAGCCTACCCAGAGGTGACACTGTCTTCTAAACACCTTATATAAAGATGGAGACCAGAAATTTTTCAAAAATCATCCTCATAAGTCTGGCCTTAAAAGGCCAGGTTGCATAGAACTTGTTAGTCTCTTTTCTTTTCCTTTATTTTCAACTAATTTCACAGGCCTGAGGTATATTAGTGAGGTACATGGTACATGTAGTATACACAAACAAACAAAATGGGCAGTTATGTGTACTCTCCAACTTTAGTGGGTAAATGTGGGTAGCCTATTGAAAAATGTAGTTCTTGGACTCCACCAAATTTACTGAATCCATAATCACAATCTGGGAAAAAGAATTAAATCGAATTTAAAACACCTTTTTAATATTTTAATAGATTTAGGGTACAAGTTGGATTCTGTTGCACATATACATTGTATAATAGTAGAGTCAGAGCTTTTGGTATGACTCAAGTAGTGTACATTGTACCCCAGAGGTAATTTCCCACCTGCTCCTCCACCCTTGCCCTTGTGAGTCTTCAATATTTGTTATACCAAGAAACAGCATTTTAACAAATCTCCTGGGTGATACTCATGCAGGTGGTCCTGTATCAGTACCCATGCTTGAGACTGACCACACTTTGATAAACACTGCTATAATATAGTAAGATTGATGGTTCAGTAAACAATTACATTTCAAAAAAATTCATACATACTCATTCATACATATGAACAAGTGTTACCACCTTTGAAACTCACCCTTGGAAGCAGAATGACTCAGTTTGTTGAATTAGTCTTTCTTTCTTTTTTCTTTTTTTGAGACAAAGTCTCAATATGTTGCCCTCAGTAGAGTGCTATGGACTCATAGCTCACAGCAAGATCAAACTCTTGGGCTTAAGTGATCCTCTTGCTTCAGCCTCCCAAGTAGCTGGGACTACAGGTGCCCACCACAATGCCCAGCTATTTTTTTGTTGTAGCTGTTATTGTTGTTTGGCAGGCCCGGTCTGGGTTCCAACACACCAGCCCCAGTGTATCTGGCCAGCGCCTTAGCTGCTGAGCTACAGGAGCTGAGCCTGAATTAGTTTTGGCTGATATTATTCAAGATATTCAATCTGATACTATTCAAGATATTTCCGGAATTCCTCTGTTAGAATATTATCACCATCTGAGGTATATTTTACATTATTTCTCTTCTGAAGGTCATTTTATTTTTATTTATTTATTGATTTACATATTTTTTGAAAGTTCCAACTGTCGGCGTGGCACCCGTAGCAGTGGTTACAGGGCCAGCCACATACATCAGGGGTGGTGGGTTCGAACCTGGCCTGGGCCAGCTAAACAACAACTGCAACAACAACAACAAAATAGTATTAAAGGGCCGTGGCATTAGGAAAGTTGAGAATCACTGGCTTAATTCCAAGAGTTCGAGGCTGCTGTGAGCTGTGATGCAATGGTACTCTACTGAGGGCAACATAGTGAGATTCTGTCTAAAAAAAAAAAAAAAAATTGTCTATTTGATTTTTAAAACAGTTATGCATCACAGAGTCTTACATTTGTGAATAAGGTAGGTAAGAAGTCTTATTTTAGGTCAGACATAAGATATGTCAGATACTAAATAACTGAGACTATTATCTTGTGTTTCCTACCCTGTCACTATTATCTTGTGTGTTTCCTACCCTGTCAAACAAAGAGGAGGACTGCTTTAAATACTAGCACCTTGTTGGAATGGCAGATCCTGAGAAGTATGTGGTGGGCGGGAGGTCCCAGGGTCAAGACACATGAGATTTGGGTTCTTTTCTCTGCCCTTATTAGTTATAGGATTTTTAGGCAGGTAACTTTATCTCTTTTAGCTTTAGTTTCCTTCTCTGTAAAATTTTATTTCTTGTTCTGCCTGTCTCAGAGGGCTGCCATGAAGACTGTAGGAAATAATACAAATGAAAGCAATTTGTAAAACTATTGTGTGATATACAAATATAAGGTGTCACTACTGGTATTATTAAGAGTACGTTGGCATGAAAGAATGTAACTCATTTGATTGCCTAAATTCTTGTTTTCTAAGAAAAACAGAGTCTTTAGTTGTTAATCAGTCATGCCTCATTTTTGTTTCCAAAAAGGTTTGAATAAATTAATGGATGGCTCAGCTATATTTGGTTACTAAAGAACTAGGATATGCAGGGATATCTAGAAATTATGAAATGATAAGAAGTTGGCAACTCATCTTTCAGGAAGTCTTGTCAGAGATAGTGAGGCTTGTCAGTGAGGACAAGTCAGATGGATTTGACAGAACATCACATAGTCTCAAGATTGGAAGTGTCCTAGATAGAACCAAGTTTGATTCCTATGCAATTAATGAATCTTCTTTTAAACAAGGAGTTATTTTGTACTTGCAATCTCCAGTGACTGGAAGCTCCCTACTTACCTTGACTATTTATTTTATTGCTGGACAATGCTACCTATTAGAAAGTTCTTTCTTAGATTAAGTCATTACAAATTATCTCAAACCATCCCCACCTCCAACCAGTCTAGATTCCACAACACATCCTCAGTCCATGAGGCCTCAGGCCTCTCCTCACCTTCCAGTTTTTCTTCTGACATCACAGTATGACATAATGAGAGTGAGAGGAAAAACAAGTGCACCCAGTGATCTCCTTCTTTCACTGCTTCTACCAAAGTCTTGTCATAAAATGAAAACTTAGGATCAGCCAGTTTGTTGTAGGAGAAGTCGATCATGTCTTTCTGGAATGCAAAAGCCAGATCAAACTTCTCAGCAGCAATTTGACACTTTATAGGTCAGTTCAGAGACAATTTCTGGAATGTGATGAGAATTCTCAGGAGGAGGGGAAGGGAAAAGCTAAGTGAAGGGAGACCCTGTGCTGGTTCCTAAGGTCCGTGCAGCTCTGACCTGGACCAGCCATTTATTTGGACCAGAAAAGAGTCTTCCAATGGAGACAAGCTGACTACTGCTTGGCAGATCCTTTTTGCATCCCTTTCACTCTGGCTGTTCTGAATGATTAATGCCAATCTATTGGCAGACTCTATTCTTCCAAGTCCCAAATCCATAATAATCGAACCTGAGGGGTAATTACCCCCTATCTATAAGTAGTATCTGGAAATAGTCTTGTTTCTGGTTGTCCTTGGCCTGATTTTGGGAACTGAGAATAGAGTCCCAGGTATAGTGGTATCCTGTTGCACTATTTCTCTCTAGCCTGACAGGGTTATATGGGGCTAGAGAGGAATACTGCAAGATAGAGACAAGGCCATATGATGAGTTTCAGTACGTGCTTGTTGTTCACATACTTAATTTTGCTTGACCTGCTTGGCACCTGTAGCTCAGTGGTTAGGGCACCGGCCATATTTCCTCAGGCTGTGGGTTCAAACCCGGCCCAGGCCTGCTAAACAACAATGACAGCTACAGCTACAAAATAGCCAGGCATTGTGGTGGCGCCTGTAGTCCCAGCTACTTGGGAGGCTGAGGCAAGAGAATCACTTAAGCCCAAGAGTTTGAGGTTGCTGTGGGCTGTGATGCCATGGCACTCTACTGAGGGTGACACAGTGAGACTCTGTCTCAAAAAAAAAATTGTTTTTTTGCTTGACCTATCACCAGCATATCTGACCGTTTCTGCCTCTAACATTCATGGTCATGGACCTTGCTGCTTCAGTTCCTAGTTTAGTCCTTGCCTCCATATTTGGATCTAATATCCACTATTTTCCTGACTTTGCCAATGGCTTTTTTTTTTTTTTTTTTTTTTTGCCAGTGGCTTCTTTAGCCATTGACTCTCACTCTCCATTTTAGCTAGGCTATTTGTAGTCAACTTGGGTAACTATTTTTTCTGGCTCAGCTTTGCCTATCCTGGAATGTGATGTTATTAACACATGTCTCCAGCCCTACCAGAACCCTCAAGGATTTTTCTCCAGTTCTCTGGATATGTGGTGGCACCTGAGCTCGGACCCAGTTTGTCAAGTGCAGACACAATTATTCTGATTGGTGCTATGTTGGAGAAAGAAACATTTGTAGTGAGCTACATTGGGTTTTTCTATATCATATTATTATTATTTTTTGAGACAGTCTCACTTTGTCACCCTCTGTAGTGCTGTGACGTCATAGCTCACAGCAACCTCAAACTCTTGGGCTCAAGTGATTCTCTTGTCTTAGCCTCCTGAGTAGCTGGGACTACAGGCTTCTGCCACAATGCCTAGCTATTTTTAGAAACACAGTCTCACTCTTGCTCAGGCTGGTCTCGAACCTGTGAGCTCAGGCAATCCACCTGCCTCAGCCTCCCAGAGTGCTAGAATTACAGGTGTGAGCCACCGTGTACAGACTCTATATCTTATTTAGAGGGAATTTTGTCATAGCAATGAGTAAGTATGGTCTAGAGCTAATCTCTAGACCTGGCCAACCATGGAGTTATGAGCTCTATGAAGTTTATAGTTTCAGTAATTTAAGATAACCCATCATATAAAAAAAGATAACCCATCATATAGCATATATATTCTGAGGCTTTTCTAGAAGTGGGCTTTTGTACTGGCAAGTACAAGAAACTTCAATGAACTTGAAAAGTTCATTGAAACTTTAATAGAAGCTGGTGTATGGTGAGAGATAAGGCTGGAGAGGTAGGACATGAGCCAGATACTGCATTACCATCTTATTTGCAATAGGGTGTCATAGCAATTTTCCATTGGAAGTGACACAATTATATTTGTTTGAGAGAAAGTCCTCAGGTAGCAGCATGGAGAATACACTGGAACTAGAAAGATAAGAAACTGAGAGACCAATTAGGAGGCCATTCAATGATCACTGGAGAAATGATGAAGTAGTGACAATAAATATTAAAGGGATGGATTTGAAAATGCAGGGAGCTAGAACTGATAGGGTATGGATACAAGTAGGGAAAGAGTCAGGAACAATTTTATATTTACTAAATGGGCTCTTGGGTATACAGTGAGACCATTCAGTGAGATACCCAGCAGAAGGTTTTTGACAGATTGAATTGGAGATACCCAGAAGATATATAGGTAGCAATGAAAGCAGGCAGTTGCTTATAGTTTTGAAGCTCAAGAGAGATCCAAGCTAGTTTCTGATTTCTCCTTCTAGTAATGCCTGAGAACACTGAACCTGTCTGGCTATATGACTGAGGCAGGGCTTGCTTGCAGCTACAGAACAGCATAACCTGAGAGGCAGCATTCATGGATAACTTTGAAATTGAAAGGCAAATGACCAGTTAAACAAGACTGAAAGGCAAGTCTGGATGGAAACTGAGAATGAAGGATGAGAGAATTCAGAATAGAGGGTAGAAGGTGGCAACTGAAGAAACTCTTTGAGTTGCTATGACGTAACTGTAGGACAGTTTTTGTAGGATGTCTTCAGCCTTGGCCATGGGTGGGAGCTATCAAGCTTTCCTTGGATATGTGGATTTTGGAGGTTATCAGTAAGTAAGTAGTAGTTAAAGGCATCTGAATACATGAGATTATCTGGGGAGACTATACAGATGGAGAAGAGGTCTAATAATAGAGCCCTGGGCAATATCAGTACCTAAGACAAGGAGATGAGAAAAAGCAATCAGATGCGAAGAAAAAAAATGAGAAAAGAGTTGTTATTTTACCAGAAGCCAAAGAGCAATAAAGTCTTAAGAAAAAGTAGGGTGGCTTGGCACCCACAGCACAGTGGTTATGGCACCAGCCACATATGCCAAGGGTGGTTATGTTCAAACCTGGCCCGGGTCAGCTAAACAACAATAACAACTGCAACAAAAAATAGCCAGGTGTTGTGGTGGGCACCTGTAGTCCCAGCTACTTGGGAGGCTAAGGAATTGCTGGGGCCCAAGCGTTTGAGGTTGCTGTGAGCTGTGACACCATGGCACTCTACCAAGGGCAACATAGTGAGACTCTGCCTCAACAAAAAACAAAAAAGAAAAAGTAGGGTTTCAGAGTGTCAAAATCCACAGAGAATTTGGGTCAGGATTTAACAGGGGTAGTCACTGATAATGACCTTGACTAGGATAGTTTCAGTGAACATGATAGGACAGAGAGATTATACAAAACAGTTTGAAGAATGAATGAAAGGTGAGGAATTAAGAGACTACTGTAACTGTAATTGCCTGTTTATTTCTATGGCGGCTCCTCCAGCCTGCCAACTCTGGAAGCAGGGGTCAAGTCTGTTTCGTTTTCTCTGAATCTTTAGTACTAACTCAGGGTCTGACACATGGCAGACACTCAAAAAATATTTTGAACTGACTAGACAGATAATGGCTAGAGGGGAATGTGGGAACAAGGAAAGGTTCTAACTGCTTTCCAGAAATATGAATAAAAAGAGAATGTAAAAGATGTACTATTTAGTGGCTATGTCTGGTTAATGGGCGATGGTTTAAAAGGACATTTATTTTATTTTACTTTAAATTAATACTTTCTTTTTTAGAACAATTTTAGGTTTACAAAAGAATCGAGTAGAGAATATCAAAAGTTCCTGAATACTTCCCCTTCCCTTCCACACTACAGTTTCCCCTATGAACATCTTGCATTGGTGTGACACATTTATTAACAGCTGATGAACCAATATTGATACATTATTATTAACTAAAGACCATAGTTTACATCAGGGTTTACTCTTTGTGTTGTTCAGTTTTAAGGGTTTGACAAATGCATGATGTCATGAATCCACATGACAGTAGCATACAGATTAGTTTCACTGATTTAGAAATCCCCATTGCTCCATTGCTTTATCCCTCTCCCTACCTCCAACCCCCAATCCCCTGGCAACTATGGATTTTTTTTCTTTTACTATCTTTATAGCCTTTTTTTTTTTTTTGAGACAGAGTCTCACTGTGCTGCCCTCAGTAGAGTGCTGTACCGTCATAACTCATAGCAACCTCAAACTCTTGGGATTAAGTGACTCTCTTGCCTCAGCCTCCCAAGTAGCTGGGACTACAGGCACCCGCCACAATGCCAAGCTATTTTTTGGGTGCAGTTGTCATTGTCGTTTTAGCAGGCCTGGGCTGGGCTCAAACCCACCAGTCTTGGTGTATGTGGCTGGTGCCCTTCTCACTGAGCTTTGGGCGCTGAACCAATATCTTTATAGTTTTGCCTTTTCCAGAATGTCATATATTTAAAATCAAACACTATGTAGCCTTTTGGATTGGCTTCTTTCACTTAGTAATGTGTGTGCTTGCCTGTCTATATTTCTATCCATTTATTTATTTATGAATGAGAGAGGATCTCAAACTCTTGCCCTAGGCTATAGTGTAGTGGTACAGCCTCAAACTCCTAGCCTCCTACCTTAGCCTCTTGAATAGCTAGGACTACAGGTGAGTACTACCACACCTGGCTAATTTTATTTTATTATATATTTAGAGATGGGGTTTCACTATGTTGTCTGGGCTGGTCTCAAACTCATGGCCTCAAATGATCTTCCTGCCTCAGTCTCTGAAAGTACTAGGATTACAGGCATGAGCTACTGTGACCAGGTGGCAATATGAGTTTTTTTTTTTTTTTTTTTCCTTTAACCATCATTCCCAATGAAGAAATATGCATTTAAAGTTCAGGGACTTTGCCTGACAACCTGGATCTTTGTACCCTCAATAAATCCCCAACAATTAAAAAAAATAAAAACAAGAGGTAAAAATAAAAAAAAATTAAAGTTTCCCCTTGCAATTTGGACACCTATGGTGTTAAAATAAAGTTCTTCCATGGTTGATCATTATTATTATTATTATTATTATTTGTGGCTTGATAGCTCACTTTTAAAAATTTTTGAATAATATTCTATTATATGGATATACTAATGGTTTTTTAAAGAAGGGAAAGATTAGAGCTGAGGGGAAAGAATCATATAAGGGGTACGTTTTGGAAATGAAGAGAGAGAATACAGAATTGGCTGAGGTTCCTGAAGTAGGAAGGGATGGAATCTAGAATATGTAAGAGATTAGTATTGAAAGGAAAGTGACAGTTTGGGGGGGGGCTGAAGGAAGGGAGGTAAAAGTGTGTTCTGATACTCATCCAGAGAAGAACATTTGACAGTTTAGATTTTTCTCAGTAAAGTAGAAGGTGAATCATCTGCTGCATATGAGGAGCCCAGAGAATGTGGTAGAAGGCCTGTGAGTGGTGAATGTTTGGAAAACCTGATATGAAAATAAAGTATGAAGTTGTTTACAAACAGGTAAAAAGTTTGCCAAGTAGCACTGGGGACCGGAGAGGGTGGAGTCTCTGAATGTGTAATGGTTTTGTAATCTCCAAAATAGTGCTCCACATTCTGAGATTGGAAACAGTGCCGGATAGATGGTTTGGTTAACACAGAGTTGAGATTTGGTGGTGATTAAACAGGTCAAAAAAAAAAAAAAAAAGGAGGACTAGGAAGGCATTGAAGATGCTTATAATCCTGGGTTACAAATAGGCAAGCTAGGAAAGAAAAGGAAGTAAAGTCATGAGGAACTGATAGACTGGAGAAAACGGAAAGCCAATGGTTTGTAAATCCTCATGAAATAAAAAAAACAGGCATACTTAAAAAAATTTTAATTACAAGTACTGAGCCAAATACTGTGAAAGATAGAGAATAAGGTTTGTGATCAGAGATCATGGCAAGGTAGTTTACAATTTCAGAGTAATACAATTCTGGGGACATGGAGATGAATTATATAGGTTTTTTTCTTCTTTAGTACAAGAGGTACTAAAGAAGGTCATTGGAAATGGTCTCTCAGATACTTGAAAGAGTCCATAGTGAATAGATCATCCAAAAAGATGCCAATACCTCCCAAAATGAAAGAAGTGATTGCATGGAGAGGGAGAATACAAGCTAAGTTTCCAAGTCCTCGTGAATGAGGTGGAAGAAGCTAGAAAATCCATAGATGTTGACCACCTGAAGAGTTGAAGATGAGTATAACTAGAAGTCAAAAGCATCACAGGAAGAAAGACAGTATAAAGGAGAAAAAGTGATGGCTTAAAAGTGGCACATATTAATGAAGACAATACCTTTGGGCTTACAATATGCTAAGAAAAGGGATGTTCGCAAGGAAAGTGGTGTTTCTTTTTTCTTTTCTGTTCTTTTTTTTTTTTTAGAGACAGAGTCTCACTTTGTCACCCTCAGTAGGGTGCTGGGCCGTCACAGCTCACAGCAACTTCCAGCTCTTGCGCTTAGGTGATTCTCATGCCTCATCCTCCTGAGTAGCTGGGACCACAGGCATCCACCACAATGCCTGGCTATTTTTTTGTTGCAGTTTGGTTGGGGCCAGGTTCGAGTATGCCACTCTCGGTATATGGGGCCAGCACCCTACTCACTGAGCCATAGGCACTGCTCGGAAAGTTGTGTTTCAATTAAGGCAGGGAGAAGAGAGCAATTTTATGATGGGATAGGTAAGTAAGTTTATAAGAGAACAAAGATTCCAATGATTTAGTGAAAAATATGTTATGGTCAATCAGTAGTGAAAAGGAGAGAAAGAGGAAAGAAACTCGAGGGGGAATTTACTCCATAGAACTATAACTTTATTTATATTTCTTTTTTTTTTTTGAGACAGAGCCTCAAGCTGTCCCCTTGGGTAGAGTGCTATGGCATCACAGCTCACAGCAACCTCCAACTCCTGGGCTCAAGCGAGTCTCCTGCCTCAGCCTCCCAAGTAGCTGGGACCACAGGTGCCTGCCACAACGCCTGGCTATTTTTTGGTTGCAGCCATCATTGTTGTTTGGCGGGCCCGGGCTGGATTCGAACCTGCCACCTTAGGTGTATATGCTGGCGCCTTAGCCACTTGAGCCACAGGTGCTGAGCCTTTATTTATATTTCTAAAGTCATTATCAGAGTTCCTGGAAGATGATTTAAGGCAAAACATTGATTTTCCTTCCCCTTTTCAATCTTTTTGGGTGGACGGGGTGAAGGTGATAGTTGGGAGCTGGAGTCAGTTTGGTACGTAAGTCAAGCGGCTATGGGTTTGGAATTGGGTCTAGCAGGACAGGGATGGGGTAGGGTGAGGAGTATACTGAAAGCAATGGAAGAAGCCTTATGAAGGGATGTGTTAAAATCAAATTCATAAACAAAAGCAGAACTCCAATACTAGAGAAATCAGTGAAATGAACCAGCTACGAAGAAGAATAGTAAAATATTTTTGTAATTGTGTGGGTAAAGACTGTTGAATCTGTCACAAATCCCGAAAGTATAAAGGTAAACAGATTCAATTACAGACGCTAAAAACTTCTACACACAAAAAAATTAAAAAATTAAAAACCAAAAGACAAAATGGGAAAAATAACTGTAACATATGTGTCAAAGGAAGAGTTGCTATTTCTACTATATAAAGAACATTTTCAAATTAGAAAAACAGAGCAATGAACATAAACAGATAATTAACAAAATAAGTATATGGAAAATAAAGGAACTGGGAAGGTGAAGGAAAATAAGCACATAAAAGCTATTCAACCTAATTAGTAATCAGAGAAAGGCAAATTAAATAATGAAATATTATTTTTTGCCAATTATATTTCCACAGATTAAAAAATGGTTATTACCCAGTGCTGAGAAGGATACGGGGAAAAGGAATGGTATTTTTTTTTTTGGTGGGATTATAAAATTATGCAAATCTATCTGAAGGCAATATGGCAGTATTAAGTGCATTAAAAATGTGGCTAACCTTTGATCAATCAATTTTACTTCTAGGATTTTATCCTAAGAAAATAATTGTCAGAAAAGTAAACAAAATGTATATAGCAGGATGATTACCAAAATGTTATTTGTAATAATAGCAAAAGAAAATGGAATAAAAATAGAGGATTGGTTAAATAAATTAAGGTTCAATGATTAAACTGATTATTAAACACCCATTCAAAATGATGATGTAGACCTAGATTTACTGACATGGGAAGGTGACCGTAATATAGTGTCAAGTGAACAATAGGAAGTTGAAAATGTAGCATGCACAATGATTTTATCCCCCCCAATCTAGATCTGGAGATACATACATGTGTGTATATATGCTTATGGAAAGCAGCTGAAAGGATATAAACTCACATTTTACATTGGATATCTAAATGGGATTGAATAATTTTGAGTTTCTTCTTCACACACTTCTGTCTCATTTGATTTTTTTACGTGGATTATTTTTTAAAGAGAAAAAAGCCAATAAAACTATTTTCACTAAACAAAACAAAACCAAGTCCCCTCAAATAAATATAGGAAATTTACCATATACATTCTGATATTGTGGGGCCAGTAAGCTGTAATATTTTGGGGGCCAAAGAATTCCAGTTTGTATTAAATAAAGATGCTTCTCTGCAGCACAGCCTTACTCTGCCTTCACATGAACTTCCCTAATCACTTACCTCAGAGACTGTCACCTTCTGCCCATTCTTGTCATAGACATCACCTGGTGGTAAGCAAACAGAGCAGAGACTTGGCCAGGGTTTTAAAGGAGGGTTTAAAATTTTTTTATTCTGGTAAAATATATATAACATGAACCTATATTTTAACCATTTAAATGTAAAATTCCATGACAGTAACTATATTACCAATGTTGTGCAACAATCACTATTTATTTTCAACAATTTTTGAGCACCCCAAACAGAAACTTCCCATTTTTTCTATCTCCTTAGTAGCCTCTTATCTACTTTCTGTTTCTATGAATTTGCCTATACTAGATAACTCACATAAATAGAATCATAAAATATATGTCCTTTTATGTCTGGCTTAATTCATTTAGCATAATGTTTTCAAGGTTCATCTATACTACATAGCGGGCAAATAATATTCCCTTGTATGTATATTTTGTACATTGTATGTATATTTGCCACATTTTGTTTATCCATTTGGTGATAGATACACGGGTTATTTCCACCTTTGGGCTATTGATGTTGTTGTTGTTTTTTTTTTTTTTTTTTGAGACAGAGCCTCAAGCTGTCCCCCTGGGTAGAGTGCCATGGCATAGCTCACAGCAACCTCCAACTCCTGGGCTCAAGCAAGTCTCCTGTCTCCGCCTCCCAAGTTGCTGGGACCAAAGGCGCCCACCACAATACCCGGCTATTTTTTTTGGTTGCAGCCATCATTGTTGTTTGGCGGGCCTGGGCTGGATTCAAACCTGCCACTTTAGGTGTATGTGGCTGGGGCCTTAGCCACTTGAGCCACAGGCGCCGAGCCAACCTTTGGGCTATTGTAAATACCTACAATGAATACTGGCATAGATGTATCTGGATGAGTTTCTGTTTTCAAATTTGGTGGGTATATATGGAGAAATGAACTGCTGAGTCATATGGTAATTTAAAGAAGGGTTTTTTTTTTTTGAGACAGAGCCTCAAGCTGTCGCCTTGGGTAGAGAAAGGTGGCATCACAGCTCACAGCAACCTCCAACTCCTGGGCTCAAGCGATTCTCCTGCCTCTACCTCCCAAGTAGCTGGGACTACAGGCGCCCACCACAACGCCCGGCTGTTTTTTGGTTGCAGCCGTCATTGTTGTTTTGCGGGTCCGGGCTGGATTCGAACCCGCCAGCTCAGGTGTATGTGGCTGGCGCCTTAGCCAGTTGAGCCGTAGGCGCTGAGCCTAAAGAAGGGGTTTTAAAAGCTTATTTCTTCTTTCATCCTATACTTGCAGTCAAACTGTCTTAAAACCCCTCAGTACCCCAGTAAGCTCCTTTCCCTAAGCCAATGGTAAGGCAAGGTCTCCCTGGGCCTCAGCTCTTCTCCCTTACATGAGAGTAAGGAGACACTGGAGTTTAGTCACTGAATCTATTGGAGACTTCACACCTGAAGGAAGCCCTCCAATCTAAAAATTTACTTAGAAGAGATGTGAAAATAATTCTAGAGTGTTTGGGATTCTTGAACAGTAGGTAGTATGTACAGATAGTATTGGGGGTAAAAGACAGGTCTGTTGTGAAGCATAGAATCACCATGACCCTGTTCAACCTTACCAAGTATATGGTCATATCTTACAATGAGCCAGAGAATTAAGATCCTCACCCAAACAACTCATCCAAAAATAAGGCTTCAGAGTTTATATACAATAAAACTTGTTTGGTAAGGATAATAGGAAAGTATTAGAGTGCTCTAGCTTTTTTTTTTTTTTTTAGAGTGCTATCGCTTTTAAAACAAAATTTAAAATGTTAATAATTTTTTTTATCGAGGTGAAGCATAACATATAATTAACCATTTTAAAGTGTATGGTTTAGGGGCATTTAGTGCATTTATAATGTTGTACAACTACCACCTCTCTCAAGTTTCAAAACTTTCTCAATGTCCCAGAAGAATATCCATGTGCTCTGGCTTTTTAGATGTGATCACCTCCCTCAGAACAGTTAGGGGATGGGTATGAATGTTCATACACATGAGGACTTAACTCTGTCACCAAAATAAGCATATAAAATAAATACGGAATTGGGCCTGACAGACACTGATCAAACTCTGACTACCTTTTGATGGCTTCTCTCATCATTATTTATTGTTCTAAAGGGTAATCAGGAGGTTAGCAGCTTCAGTAATACGATGACTGCTCTGACTTATTTTAAATTAATTTTATTTTTAATTGACAAATAGTTGTATGTATTTATGGGCACAATATGATGTTTTAATATCTGTATACATAGTGGAATGACTATATGTGTATCAAGCTGAAATTAACATATCACTCACCTCATACTCATACTATTCTACAGTAAGAACATTTAAAATCTACTCTTTTTTTTTTTTGAGACAGAGCCTCAAGCTATCCCCCTGGGTAGAGTGCTGTGGCATTACAGCTCACAGGAACCTCCAACTCCTGGGCTCAAGTGAGTCTCTTCCCTCAGCCTCCCAAGTAGCTGGGACCACAGGCGCCTGCCACATCACCCGGCTATTTTTTGGTTGCGGCTGTCATTGTTCTTTGGCAGGCCCAGGCTGGATTCGAACCCGCCACCTTAGGTGTATGTGGCTGGCGCCTTAGCCACTTGAGCCACAAGCACTGAGCCTAAAATCTACTCTTTAGGCAATTTTGAAATACACACTGATTATTATGTATGGTCAACATGCTATATAATAGATTCCAAAAACACATTCCTCCTATCTAACTGAGGCTTTGTACCTTTTAGCCAACATTCATCTAATGTAATATGACAGTGAACTGAGCATATGATTTTTCCTTGAGACATTGGGAACTTCTTTAGACAGAGACTAAGTCTTGCACATGTTAGTACTCTCAATGTCTTAAAAAATGGATTGAATTTATAAGGTGCTAAATAAATGTTTTTTTGGTTAGAATTGAATGGGCTGGGTGTTTTTTGTTGGTGCATAGACGGGGTGGGTGGTGAGAATAGGAGGTAAATGTGAATTCCAGAGGCTTATAGATTTAGAGTTAGATCATTATTGAAAAACAAGCTGCAAAGTAGAATTTCCCCAGGACTTAGGGAAAGCAGGAAGACATGCATACCATAGAGTTTCCCATTAATAGAACATTTGCTGAAAATCATGACGTTCTGAGTCAGAGTCCCTGTTTTGTCAGAGAACACATATTGGACCTGGCCAAGTTCTTCATTAAGGGTGGTGGTACGAGCCTGTGCTGGTGTGTTCCTTGGTGCGTAAAACATCTTCCGATCCCAGTTGATATAGAAACTGTTGCCCAATCGTATTATTTCAATACTAAAGAGAAAGCAAAAAAAGAATGGTTTTGGGTCAAAACAGAACAAGCAAATATATCATCCTAGTTTCCTTCTTATCAGACCTATTGTAGGTCTGGGGCAGCATCTGAAAATCAGAGTATCTTCCTCAGGAACCTACCCTCCTGAAGGACCTTTCCCACCAGCCACACCATGGTAATTCTGTGGTAATTCTGACTTTGACCATTATATTGCAAGGCTTTACCACCGGGACCAGAGGGATACATGATTAACTTCTCTGAGTCATATCCTCCTTTGATTCTTATTTTTCCAAAACATGTCCAGGAAAAATTACAATTTTTGAACTTCTGCAGTAATGCAAGATCTGATGGAATAATAGCTAATTTACAAAAGGTTATATTGGCCCAGTTTACTATTACTGTTGTCACATGGAGAAGACAGAGAAACTTGACACCAGATTTTTTTTTTTATTAAAACATTTTTCTTTTAATTGTTGAGGATTCATTGAGGGTACAGAGAACCAGTTTATACTGATTGCATTTGTTAAGTAAAGTCCCTCTTATAACTGTGTCCCGCCTCCAAGAGGTGTGTCACACACCATGAGCCCCCACCTATCCACCTCTTGTGCTCTCTCCATTCCCCCTTCCCCCACTCCCCACCATGTACTAGGTCATCAATTGTCCTCATATGAGAATTGAGTACATTGGATTCTTGCATCTCCATTTTTGTGATGCTTTACTAAGGAGAATGTGTTTCAATTCCATCCAGATTAATACAAAAGATATAAAGTCTCCATCTTTTTTAGTGGCTGAATGGTATTCCATGGTATACTTATACCATGGCTTGTCAATCCATTCCTGGAGTAGTGGGCATTTAGGTTGTTTCCACAGTTTTGTAATTGTAAATTGAGCTGTGATAAACAGTCTAGTGCAAATGTTCTTATGGTAAAAGGATTTTTTTTCTTCTGGGTAGATACCCAGTAATGGGATTGCAGGATCAAATGGGAAGTCTAGTTTGAATTTTTTGAGGATTCTTTATACTTCCTTTCAAAAGGGTTGAATTAGTTTGCAGTTCTACCAGCTGTGTAAAAGTATTTGTTCCCTTCTCTCCACATCCATGCCAGCATCTGTAGTTTTGAGATTTTGTGATGTGGGCGATTCTCACTGGGGTTAAGTGGTATCTTAGGGTGGTTGTGATGTGCATTTCTCTGGTAATTAGAGATGATGAGCATTTTTTCATATGTTTGTTAGCCATTTGTCTATCTTCCTCCAAGAAGGTTCTGTTCATGTTTCTTGTCCTGTGGGAGATGAGATTGTTTGCCCTTTTTTTGTTGACTAAATTCTCTGTACTTTCTAGTTATTAACTCTTTGTCAGAGTCATAACATGCAAATATCTTTTCCCATTCTGAAGGCTATATTTTTGCTTTTATTGTTGTCTCCTTAGCTGTACAGAAGCTATTCAATTAAATTAAGTCCTATTTGTTTATTTTTGTTGTTGTAATTGCCACTGAAGTTTTCTTCATAAAGTCCTTCCCCAATAACTTCAAATGTTTTCCCCACAGCTTCAAGGATTTTTATTGTTTCATGCCTTCGATTTAGATCTTTTATCCATCTTGATTCAAGTTTAGTGAGTGGAGAAATGTGCGGGTCCAGTTTCGGTCTTTTACATGTAGTTATCCAGTCATCTCAGTACCATTTATTGAATAGGGATTCTTTCCCCTATTCAACATACAAGAGTATGTTCTTGTTTGGTTTATCAAAGATTAGGTGGATGTAAGATGTTTGTTTCATTTCCTAGTTTTCTATTTGGTTCCAGATGTCTATGTCTCTATTTTTGTGCCAATTCCATGCTGTTTTAATCACTATGGTCTTGCAGTACAGTCTGGTAGGCTGATGCCCCTGGCTTTGTTTTTATTACTAAGAATTGCCTTGGCTATATAGGTTTAGTCTGTTCCATAAAAATAATTATTTTCTCCAAATCTTGAAAGTATGATGTTGGTATTTTAATGGGAATTGCACTGAATCTGTAGATTGCTTTGGGAAGTATAGACATTTTAACAATGTTGATTCTTCCCAGCCAGGAGCATGGTATGTTCTTCCATTTGTTAATATCTTCTATTATTTCTTATCTTAGGGTTTCATAATTTTCTTTATAGAGGTCCTTCACCTCTTTTGTTAGGCATATTCCTAGGTACTTCATTTTCTTTGAAGCTATGATGAAGGGAGTTGAGTCCTTGATTAGCTTCTCATCTTGGTTGTTACTGGCATATACAAAGGCTTTTGATTTGTGGACATTGATTTTATGTCCTTAGACATTACTATATTTTTTGATCACTTCCAGGAGTCTTGGGGTTCTCTAAGTATAAGATCATATCATTGCCAAAGAGGGAGAGTTTGCCCTCCTCTGCCCCCCATTTGGATGCCCTTTATTTCCTTCTCTTGCCTGATTGTATTAGTTAAAACTTCCAGCACTATGTGGAATAGTAGTGCGGACAGAGGACAGCCTTGTTTGGTTCCAGTTATAAGTGGAAAAGCTCTGTTTCACTCCATTCAGTATAATATTAGCTGTGGGTTTGTCATAGATGGCTTCAATCAATTTAAGAAATGTGCCACATATACCTATTTTGTTCAGAGTTCTAATTAGAAAAGGATGCTGAATTTTATCGAATGTTTTTTCTGCATCTATTGAAAGGATCATATAATCTTTATTTTTGCTTCTGTTGTTATGGTGAATTACATTTATGGAACTTGCATGTGTTAAATGAGCTTTGCATTCCTGGGATAAAACCTACATGATCGTGATGAATGATATTTTTAATGTGTAGCTGTAATTTATTGGCTAGGATTTTATTGAGAATTTTTGCATCTATATTCATTAGTAATATTGGTCTCAAATTCTCCTTTTTAGTTGGGTCTTTTCCTGGTTTTGGTATCAGGATGATGTTTGCTTTGTAGAACATGTTGGGGAAGATTCTTTCCTTCTCAATTTTTTTGGAATAATTTCTGCAGTATGGGTATAATCTCTTTTTTGAAAGTTTGACAGAATTCTGGTATGAAGCCATCTGGACCAGGGATTTTTTTTTTTTCTTGGGAGATTTTTTACTGTTCCTTCTATCTTAGTATTTGAAATCAGTCTGCTCAAGAGATCTATTTCTTCTTGATTAAGTCTAGGAAGAGGGTGTGATTCCAGGTATTGATCTATTTCCTCCACATTGTCAAATTTCTGG